AGTCCGTTCCGTTCTGGGCGACGATGAATCGGTCAGCTCATTTATTCTTAAACAACACGGTAAAATAAAATAGCGACAATGTTATATTTTATCAATCGACAATAATAATAACCCGTATCGATGGGGTTCGTGTTGTTTTTCAATGTTAATGAACACGATCGGCGAAAATGATAAATCAATTCGAGTATGGAAACGTTCTTAAATTCCGTGTAATGCAATCATAATACCATCGGACAGGGTTTAAAACGGATTTTCGTTTTCGCATTCGATCATATTTTCGACAATAAACGGGTCGATATGAGATAAGGCGTCGCTACGGACGTATATAATTTGTTAAAAAAAAAAAAAAAAAAACGCCAAATTGATTATCATAAGATTACGTGTACGCGTATTCGCGTCTTCAAAGCCGTTTAAATCGATCGTGCGTCGGGTCTATTGAATTCGTTTTGATTATACGTTAACTCTCGCCGTGAAAACGAGACGGGTCATTATAATACCTTTATTACGAATCACCCCGTGGCCCGTGTCCCAACCGTTGTCCCTAACGGGTAGTCCGATCACCCTTTACTAATAATAATACGTTACGATAATATCGCGTTCATGACACGGCGGCGTATCGTACACCTGTTAATCCTTCCGCTCGTCGCGGTAACCGTTAATATTTTCCGCCCTTAATATTAGATCCGAATAATCATCACATTAATCCACGCCGTTCTATAATATAGCCGACCGAGTGATGGTATCTTATAAGCGTTGTTGTTCGTTCATGAAAAAAAAAAAAAAACAAAAAACATACAAATACAAACGTTGTTTGACGCCCAATTGTTAAAATTATTAAACTAGATATTATATTTTTGTACCGTTTACCGTGATGTGTTTTACATAATCAATTCCGCCGCAGACCAAGATAATAATGTAGATAATGATATTTTGTATTATTTCAATTTACTGAAATTGGCCATCGGCCAGAGTAATGCGTTTTTTTCTACGGGCCTCCCGCACTAATGGTTTTATGTAACGTAACGATAAATAGTTATTAACATATACAAATTACTCTATAGTAATCGGTTAAGGTAAACCGTGTCCATTTTTTTTTTTTTTGTGTAAAACAGTCTTTGTATAGAATGAATATCAAGTAAATTAGGTGTTATCTACAAAGTCTAAAAAAAAAAAAAAAAAAAATAAATAAATACCGTTTGAATCTATGTAATTTCTGTTTTAGTTTTCGACGACTCGATTTCAGCGATGTCTTCATCACAGACAAGTCTGACGCATTAAATTGGACTGAAAACTTAGAAAACCGTTAAAATAAATTAAAGTTCACGTGCAGCGTATTACCTTATTCTAAAATTAATAAGATGAAACTTTTGTTTGTTTGGCAGCCGAATTCATAACTTTATCTGTAGATGCGTGAACATATTTATATACAGAAACGGATGAAGGGGTCGGTGTGCGCCTAAGAGATTTCGGATTTCCGAAATTAAACCCGTAAAGGTCGATTGACACGGGTTGATTTGCGGTATGGTTTAGAACGAAAATCGAAGTATTTTTGTCGATTTATGGGTCACCTTGGTAACACATATCAAAAAAAAAAAAAAAAAAAAATCAATTATTATTAGTTCATAATTTGGTTTTCTCTGGAGTACTCTTGTTTAAAAAAAAAAAAAATTACCGAGCAACAACGGTCAACTATAACAGGGACGGTGATGGAGACGGGTAGTCGCGGAGAGATGTGTTTTTATCGGTTTTAATGCTGTGCGTGTACTGTATCGGACAATGCGTATACAATATATAATTACGCAATTTAAAGAGCGGTTTGAATAGGAAATCAAACTCTAAAGTGGGGCCCAAAGAAATATGTGCGCTTGTAATAAAAAATTGAACAGTTTCCGTTTATTTCTGGTATCCGGTGTTTACACGGGAAAAAACTTTTGTGTAATCAATTTGAATGAATATTTTATACGGGAAGTCATGTTTTAATTAGTTTTACTATGTATTTTTTTCTATGAGAAATTTCGGTCCAACAAAAACTTTACGGGAACTTTCTACCGACATGTTTGATCTAAACGGTTGCGTTGAGAAGGTAATTTTTTTTCTTGTTTTCCTTTTTCTTAATAAATAAGATAAACTGGCAAGTTTTTTTTGTTAATCACGGGAAAAAATTCGTTAATAATAATATTCAGGTCGAAATCGGTTTTTGTTAACAGTGTCCTCATCGTCGTTTGCATACGGAAATTAAATTACCATATACAGTAGCAGCCCGCAAAGGATTTATTTTCGGGAGAGGTTTTGTTTATAATAATTTTCTATGGAGGAGATAACACATATTATGTAAGTAGAGTACCTGCTATCGCTATTATTATTTCTGAATAATTTTTGATGAAATGAAATTTTCCTTTATTCTGCGGTGCATCAGATGTGATGTTTGTCGAATGCGTAAAACTTGAAAATAAACGTAGTGAATGAAGACATTTCGGATACGGGGATCGGCCCCCAAATCCCCCCCCCCACCTCGGTGTGCGCCGCCGACTCTATACGACGGATTCTACATACGTAATATCCTCCGACGTCCCTATTAAAAACGGTGACAAACCCGTCGGCTGTATCGGCCTTTATTTTTTCGCTCCTATCCCTCCACCCCCTCCCCTCCCCTCGCCCGACTTCCCCGTTCAACACTGCGGTGCGCGGGCAAAGTCGCATGACGGCAATACGCGGCCGGTAATAACAATACGGGCGTATTGTAACTCGGAATTATATTTTCTTTCGCCCGGGTTCGACCGAGGTCGGACCGCCGCACGCGGCATATCATTAAAAAATCAAATACATTTACCTATGCACACCACACGTACGTATAATATATTATTCATATACGTATACGGTATTAAAAATTTGGCATCAGGAATATTTGCGTGATGCGTGTGCGGCGGCCGTGATGTGCGTGTGAGCGATGATGACGTGTGTGTGTGTGTGTGCGCGCGTGTTTTGACAGGCGTAAAACTGCGCGACGGCGAAAACCACACACGTGGTTTTTATTTCTTTTTCATCAGAAATATCCGCGCGTTTTCGTTGTATGTCACTCGGATTTACATCGTCGTCGTCGTCGACGGTTAGTCCGATTTTATTATTATGGTTATTTTTTTTTTTTTTTTTTCCGGACGATAATCTCCCGCCGCAGTGGCGGGCATAGGTTGTCGTCGTACCGCCCGTTTAATACTACCGCGTGTATTATTATCGTGTGCGCGTGTGTGCGTGTTTGTCAGTTTTGGAAGTGCGCTCGTATTCACAAATCACAATACATACACGCACACACCCACACACACACACACACACGCGCGCGCGCGAAGGTAACTACTATATTATTATTATTTTACGTGTGCGTATAAACGAACAATGGGTTCGGCATGTGCGATCATTCGGAAAAACGCGATGTGTTCGCGTTATGCACATACGGGTAAAATGTACAGCATTATCGAAAACGTCCTTGTGTGCGCTGCTATAAACACACAAACGCATACACGCCGTGGGTACCCGCACGACATTCGCACGGCGTATACGGTGGTCGTTTTGTATAATATTTCGGTGCTGCTGTACGCGACGAGAGGGATTTCTGCGCGCCGTTTCCGTTGTGACGACGCGCACCGACGCTGAAAACGGTTCGGAAATAAGACGGCAAAACATCCACCGCCCCACGCCCCCTCACCCCTCGAGGTTGTATTACGATGTATAGAATTTAGCACACAATGCACAAAAGAAATAATCGACAGTTTTCGATGCAAGTCGTCGGTGTCACGTCGGTCATCGGTCTATACAGGCAATAATATAATATAATATGACGGAGAAATAACGATTTTATCGAACACCTACTGTACATAGCCGCGCCCCGCACGATTTTCCCCGTCCGCTGCGGTTGTGTCCTGAACTATAACCGAACGTGAAAACGTGTCTCCTCGCGTTTCTCCGTCCAAACCCCGCCGAATCGCAGTCCTCTAGTTGTCGGTCAAATTAACTATGTGTATGATATCCCGTGCATAAAAAACTCACGACAAGTCTAGATGCGACGCACTCTGAAACTGCTCGACCGATTTCGGTGTGGTATAATGTTCAACGCGTGCGATTTGGTCAAACTCAAAAGACAGCCGGATAGCCTCGTCCCGACCAATGACGACCTAGAAGGGTATGAAAGGTTTTCGGGTTCCGATTTTCGGTATGAAAATCAGATTATTTTCGTCACGGAGGCAGTCACAGGGGCTATGCGGCAGCCGAACAGAATTTCTCTGTTTATTAAACTGTTGAAACGTTTGGCCACTCTGGAATTTGCTTCGAGGCGTTTACGGTTTGCGAATATATTTGGAGTGAAAAAAAAAAAAAAATGAATAATAATTGAAACAATAATACAAACAACGTCGTTTTTTTTTTTTCCATTTTCATTTCAATATAAATTCGGAAAACATAAACCTACAACGTAGTATACTACGTATTGGTGGTAGTACATATATTTTTAATATGATTCGAGACAATTCCGAGAATCGTTTACATTTTCCATACGTAGGTAAATTAAATTCATTTCAAAAATTAAACGAGCGTACATAGAGTTATGTATACAGAAAATTTCAAATACGTCTCTTATTTAATACAATTCGTTAAATGCAATTTGTTTTCATATTTATTTCCTTCGTTATAATATTATATATAACACTTGTATTATACGGGGCATTCAAACACGGGGATTTGAAAACTCATTATATAACGCGAGTATTTATAACACTTTTTGAAATTTTGAAACGACGGAATGCATTTTTTAATGATTCCTATATTTAAAAACTTGTGTAATATAATACAAGTAGCGTTCGAGTATATTATAGTCTTTGCAGATTCGGAAAAGACATTAGACAATGTAAAATGGGAAAAACTTTTTACGTGATAAATAGGCATAGACTTTAAAGATCGCTGAAAGATCTGAGATATAAAGACGTTGGAGGTACTTATCAAGATTTGGCAGAATGCTCGTTCAGTGGCTGCGGTTCGGAGATGATATTGCTACGGTAGCAGACAGTGAAGAAAACCCAGAAACTATGCTTCAAAAAATGAACAGCACGCTTAAGCAAGAATATAATTTAAATATTAATAAGACTAAGACATCGATACTAATAGGTAACAACTCGCAGACAGCGAGTAGACTCCAATATAATCATGAATAGTATAAAATTAGAAAATACGAATATTTCTACCTCGGAAGCAGAGTCACAAGTGGCAGGAAAAGCACTACTGCAGACGGCGTAGAATAGCAAAATCTATAAATACGTGTTTTTTTTAAAAAGAAGAAACTTTTCACCACAAATGCAATTATTAATATAAACACTAGAAAGACATTACTAAAAATACTTGTACGGTATGTGACACTGTATGGAGCTGAATCGTGGACAATATTGAAAGCGGATAGAAGAAAAATAGAGGCTTTTGAAACGTAGTGCTGTAGGAGGGTTTTAAAAATGTCTTGGACAAATGAAGACGTGTACCAACGGATAAAAGAAAAAAAAAGATCAATATGAGCGACAATCTTAGAAAGAAAAAAAAAGTGGATAGAGCATCTTATAAGAGAAACAATGCATGGGTAACGATTATAAACGAGGGAAAACTCAAAGGAAAGCCAGGAAGAGGAAGGCTTAGCCGTGTATAAGACGAATTGTGTTGGGTGTATAGGAAAAGGAACATACAGAGAATTGAAGGATGTCGGTTTGGGCAGAGACGAATGGAGACATCATTCAACCGATCTAAGGATTGAAAAGAAATACGTTCTAGTACGATTAGAGTAATCGCAGCAACGGTTTGTAACGGAGTTGTTGATTTTTTTTTTTTTTTGTAAATAATATTGCGTAGTATACATATCTCCCTGAAGTGTTCCGGTGGAATAAATATTATTAATACTAATCCATAATATGATAGTTTTAATTCACGTATTTTTCGTAGGTTTCATGCCATGTGCGCTGTTTATTTTTAATGCTTTTCGAATATCATTCGTGATTAATTTACAGAGTGACGCACGTTACAGCATAATATACGGACAAGAGACACGCACGTGTTTGCGCTATGAATTATAGTTTTCCATTGCATTTGGAAAATTTTCGATTGCAGAAAGGCTAGGCAAGCGTGTTTTTTCGAAGTGTTCTGCATGAGCCGCTATAATAACAGTATATCGAGCGCAGTAATCATAACAAAGATGCCTACTATATTTTGAACACTTTCCGTCATTCGTCCATTTTGCATATCCGCAGGTCAAGGTTACGTTATGTTATATTGTATACTATACATGAATGTCAACTGGATCGAAACAAAACAAAAAAAAACAAATTTTCATCTAAATGCTTACGTCCGTAAGACGTAAAGGTATGTCTAATACTTACCGCGGTGCACATTACAATGTATTATGTATAGATACTACGTTTGCGCCCCGTGAGAGGGTTATGCCGGTAATGGACATGTTGTTATGTATTTATTTTTTTTCATCTCGAGGACACGTTCCTCATTTCTGTAGTAATTGATTCATTTGCTCGTGCGAGTGTAAAACGCAATATAACAGGCATGTAATACGAGTGATATCGTGACCATTACGTTGAGAAAAAAAAAATCGCCTTCACTTCTCTTTTTGATTGCTTTTCTGCAGTTTCCCGTGCTTTCCATTTGTAACATATAATTCATTCAGCCCCTTGTAACTTTATCTTTATTCTCGTCTAACGTATAATTATTGTTTCGTGTATCTTGTAGTACAGTACAGGAAAAATAATATAAATAGCGTCAGTCTTGTTTTTCGTGTTTTTTTTTTCTCTTCTAATTTTAAGTTGTTAAGCGTCAACGAAATAAATTCAAAACTTAAAATAGGAAGTTGCGAAAAATAACAACGCGTTTCCGAAAATTCCAAAAGCTCAACGTAAAAAGTCCACGGTTATTATAATAAATTTTCGGCACTCTTCTCTCGCACCAAACCCACAGATACACACATTGTAATATGCGTGGATATTATGCACAATCCGGTCGGCTAATTTATACTGGGACTGTTCGGGAAACACGCGAAAATTCCGGTTTAGCGGCGGTAAACGCGAAACGAATAAAATAAGAAAACGGGCGTGACGATTATGTATGCAAAACTCACAGAAGCGACGGTATTGCTAACACGCGTACGTGGCGAAACGCGGCCCGTCCGTGCGACGCGGTATTCGACTGAACCACGTGTTTCGTACCGAAAGACACCGGCGGCGTACGTAGTATTATTACATTGCACAATATTACTCGTGTTATAAATTATAATATCGAAAACGGAAATTACATAATAATAATGAATATAATACACTCGTTGTACGCGTCGAACGGGACGGTCGAACGGTTTTTAGTTCTTTCGTTTGCAGCAGTGGTTTTCGACGTGTGCAGCGTTGCGGCTCCCCGCGGGGGCGTCGTCGTGGATTATTATCAAGGGAGCCGCGTCCGTATAGTGAACGTTACGATATATTTACTATATTTCGCTAGAGCAATATAGCGCAGTGAATTTATTTATTTTAATCATTTTTTTTTTTTAATTTTCATTATTCATAAGGGAACGGGGTAATTTGGATTTCAAAATCGGAAGGGCCGTGGACCCGGAAAAAGGTCGATACCCCCGCTGCTTTACAGCGTTATTCCTTGTTGCGCGTATAATACATAAAACGAGGTTAAATAAATAAAAAAATATACGCGTATAACAAATGTATCGCGACGTACATCATAATATCACACACTGCGTTATTACACATATCGTATTGTGCGCGCGCGTATAGGATACACGCAAGAGCACCCGCGTGTGCACTCGAGTACGTTGTACCCATACCGTAAAGAATAATATAATAGCGGACGCCGCCCAAAACAACGGTAATCATAGCGTTTGTAGCCCCGAACGAAAAAAAAAAAAATAAAAATAACGCTCGGAAATTGATACGTGAATATTCTAGTGGCTGGTGTATTTTTTTCAAACGTTTAAACGACGGAATAAATTAAAAAATCACGGAAAACCGTGTAAGCGTATTGTTATTATGTTATGTGCCTCTAACCTAACCCGTTTCGTAATTAAAAACCAACACAATTTACAATAATTGTCAACACGCACTTATAACTATTACTGTATACTGTTAACGTATTATTACGAGACACCGGTGATATATTCTCTCGTCTCAGCTCCGCGTGTTTACCTTGCCGTTAAATTTTGGACTTTCTCCGCTTACCCCTCTACCCACCGGCAGCGACAGTGTTTCCTTTTGTAAAATCATGACACTCCGTGACAAAATCTCAAAATTCAATCATTATCATTTATTTTCTAGCGGACGTTCAAATACGGAAAACCATATAGTTCACTGGTTCGCTGGGTTTGTGTATCCATTTAGACACGGAAAACTTCTGATGGTAGAGAAAAAGTTGAGCGTAACGTAGTTATTTTTTTTTATAAGCATACATTTTGTACATATATATATAAAACATAAATACAATTTGTTCGGATTCTAACGAGAACCGTAAAAAAAAATTCGCGTTATTCCGAAACATATTCGACCGAACTTCGTTCAGAATCGCATTGAACCTAAAACAATGGTTTTCCGTTTTTTACAGACGCAAATTAAATAACTTTATTCTACCGTCCCGACTTCCCACCCGCAACAGCGGCGCACCAGCATCGGCAATATCGGCTCTCTTCTTTCAATTTTTTCGCAAAGATTTATCGTTACATACAATATATTATAATATACTAGCCGTATCACCTACCCGCCTCCGCCCGTGAACAGTTTGGCAATGTAAAATGATTTTAACGTTATTTTGTATTTCAATCGGTTTTTAGTTTTCCCGTCCACGTTGTTACCACCAACCTTCAAATTTGTTTTTATTTCACCCGCGTTACCACGGTAATCTATAGCGATAAGTAAATAATGCCTTAGTAATATACTTTTATGCGCGCGCCGTCCGATTGTTTTAAAAACGAATAACTCGATTGTTAATATACGCGTTGGCGATGAACCGTTATTGTTAATTGATCGCGACGTTTTTTAAAAATCATTACGTATTGCACGTTTAGACTAGACGGCTTTTGCAATATTTAAAAAAAAAACCACTCTACACGCGTGTTGTGTACAAACCGAATTACGCGAATCGCCTAAACCGTTGCTTTTTTTCAACTGTTTTCGCGTTGCGTACGGGCCACCAGGACCGCGGCATAGCCGTGCGCGCGCGCGGGGTGTCGGTTCGACAGACGGCGAACGCAGAATTTAAAACACACACACATCGCGAATCGTAATTATTTTATTTTAACGTACGCCCGGAACGGAACCTGTAGGGGTCACACTATTGCTCGCCCGCACCGTGTGGCATTTCGCTCGGTGGTTTCGTTTGCGGCGTACCTATAACAGGCACGCGGACAAACCGCGTTCCGGATGACCCGGAGTTGTATTATTCGCGCGAGTCGTTTGCGCCCGAGGACTGTGTTTTACCGCCGTGAACGCCGTACGCGTGTTTCCGCCGAGTCACGGCGCGACAACTTTCATCCGCTACCCGAAAACTACCGCGTAATAACAACGACAACAATAATAATAATAATAATAATAACAATACATACGTCACTGGCGGCGCGGCGTTTTTTTTCGCTTACCGACGGTAACAGCACAATACGTTATTTTTGTTTATTATTGTTACCGTTCAATAAGGCGGAGATGCGCGCCGGTACGGGTACCGTACGTGACGGTTCGCGGCGAGCGTGTAACCCGCGCGCGCACACGCGGAATTCGACAAGATCCATTATCGTTAATATTGTTTTCGGTTCTTTTTTTCTTTTATTTTTTTTTTTTTTTTCGGCTAAACAAAAAGCGCGACGGCGGAACCGCGTGAAGTCCGCGGTCATCGCGCGCGCGCGTTGCATTCCGCGCGCGCGACAAAAGAACCGCGGCGCGCGCTCAACGACGCCGGCCGTTTGATGTGTTTTTACACGCGAGCGCGTCGAGACGAACGGGTTTTCAAGTGGGCCGTAACCGTACGCGACAACTGTCACCCGGCGGCGAAACAAGAGTCGTGGATCGGCGCCGGCGTCGAGGACAACGCGCGGATACTGCTCTGGAATACGGGGAAACGGCGGCGCGCGAAAAGCCGGGTTTTCGACCGACGCGCCGGTCAATTCGTGAACATAAAACGCGTGCGGTTTTCGATTTCGAGTGTGCTACCGGTCCGGGCCGGCACCGGTCCGGTCGTTACGGCGGTGCGGCGACAATATAAAACGTAGGGAAATCGGGTATTGGAAACAGGTCGCATCAATAACCGGGTAACAATAACGGTACCGACGGGTTTTCAAGGGAAATGTCGAACGTCGTCTCGGCGATCGCGTGAAAAGTCACGGCGACACGGGAGTGTAGTGTGCGGAGTTTGAAACCCCGGTAGAGTCTATGCGCAGCCGTTGGGGTCGCGGTGTCTTTGTAGACTTTACGGTGTTTATTCTCTCTGCTGCTGCTGCCGCCGCCGCCGCCGCCGCCGCTGCCCGTGTACGGGACGAGGAGAAATTGAAGGGAATCGCGCAGCGATCGCGGGCAAGAGATACGATCCAATCAAAAATAAAATAAGTGTATTTAAGAAGAGGGGGGAGCGATATGAAAAAAAAAAAAAAAACAAAAAACAGTTTACACAAGCAGCTACAAACAACACACATATAGATTATAGTCGGATATACTTTTTTTTATAATTTCGCTACGTCTATCTCGTTTATTTATTTGTTTGCTGTTCGCCGGGTTTGTTTCGCGGACTACCCGTTTTATACGCGACAATCTCGTGTTTAAATATTAATTCATTATTCAATGGCTGGTTCTGGCCAGGCGTTTTCCCGTTTAATTAATCGAGTAAGGAAGGCGACCCGGAAAAAAAAAAATAAATAGATTCAACTTTACCATTATAACTCGACGCGAATCGCGTGTACAGACCGCCCTCGAGGGGTCGAATTCGTAGACGAAAATTGATGACACCGGTGATCGGTCAGTGAAGGGGTAGGAGTTTCAGAGGTTCTCGTAAGCACCCGGCTCTTACGTTACAGTTTCGCCAGCTCCGCGGTCGTCATCCGGAAAGTTGTCTTTATTGAGACGTCTCCAACGCTCATATTATGATGAACAAATATAATACAAATCGGGCCAGAGGCGTTTATACTATAGCATAGTCCCGCGAGTATACGGTGGCGCAAAACAGATGCAGACAGAAAGGGTGAAAGATTTTTCGCGTTGTCGGTTTTCGAGCTACACGACACCGTAATGCAATCGGTAATTTGGAATGACACGCCGAAGAGAAATTATTATTTCGAGTCGGCGCGGTCGAGTGCCGTGACAACGCTAGTAGTTTCGGACGGCAACAAGACTCGACACGTGTGCCGCAGAGAAGTTTCGGCGGATTTTGAACAGCTCGTCGGAGATTATACCCGCGGTCCGAATGGTTGTCGATAAATAGTTCCCGCGAATCTCGTCCGACCGAAACGAGAAATCGGAAGAACGACGGGAATAACTGGACGGCGGCGAAATGCGCGGGCGAATTCCACGGTCAGATCGATTGTCGTGTAAGGCTGTGTGTAATAGGGTCGGGCGGGTCCGCACGCGCCCGATATCGTTTTCCGCACGTCAACTTCGCCCGAACGCGCCGCAGTCGTCTTTTCTACATTTCCGAATAAAAATTTTAAAAAAGTAATTTATTTCTGGAAAAAAAAAAACGTATTTTCTCGGACGCTCCGATATAATAACAGGCGCCCCCGTTCAGTGGCGCGCCTGGGAATTTTCAGCGGGAGTGGACGTGACAAGTAGAAAAATCGCGAACAAAGAGTAAAATCGTCTTCTGTACCCCGACTCCGCGTTTCGATATCGGATTACTCGTGTATTTTCAAGTCGACGGACGGTAGGGCGGACGAGACCCCTAAATTGCGCCCCCCCCCTATCTTGCGCACGCCGCCGCGCGTAATAACGTGTAGCGCGCGTACCGAAACGTCCGGGCCGCACATCGGCGCGCGGTCACGCGTTACGTACGGGTGGGCGGGGGGAAAGGGGCACGTACGCGCGGCGGCCGCCCGAGCGGTGCCGCCGAACCGAATGAGTAGCCGCGCGTAATAACGCCGACACCGGCGGGGCGACGTTTAATGCGGTGGACGCGGTGGACCTCGCGACCCCGACACGACGCGCTACCAACACGCGGTGCACGCTACGCCCGCGCAGTGCAACTGCGGGACGCGTAATGTCGGTGCCCGCGTACGCGTACGCGCGATGCGTGCGCGCGGTACCGTTTCGGCAGGTAGCCGGGCGTGCTGCCGTCCGCGCGTCGTACGTACCGCGCGATAATAAATATTACAACGTGGTAGCCGCGCCGGTATTACACCGTAATGTAACGAATTCGGAAATGAAATTACGTGCGGCCGTGCCGTACCGCGCGCGCGTGTATTATTACGCGCGTACGTTTTGTTTTGTTTTTTTTTTTTTTTCATCCTTTTCCATCCGCCGGTCGAATATATTGTTTTTTTTTTTTTTTTTTTTTTTTTTCATTATTACGATCCGCGCGGTAAAATTATTATTATATTATAATACGCGGCGCGACGGCGAAACGACCGGCCGGAGACGGCGGCGGCGACGACGACGGCGACGTGACTAGGCGTTTTTTTTTGTTTTTTCGTTTTTTTTTTTTTAATTTTCTTCCCTGCGCGCGCCCGCCGCGCGCGCGTACGGCCGGCGAGCGTGCGGCGTGCGCGCCGGGCTCTCACAATTTATTCCCGTCGGCTCACACACGACTTTTATTGCCGCGCTCCGACCGTATTATACTTCTGTACACGGCCCGTCACTACCGCAGAAGCGGACTGTTCATTATGCGTCGCGCGTACGTGTGCATATACGATTTTTCTTTCCTCCGCGCGTGTATTATTACCATTACCATCATTATTATTATTATTATTATTACCTGTACGCGGAACACGAATATCGAGACCGGCCGCCGCCGCGGTTTGTTATAAAACATGGGAGCGGCACCCGCGCGCGCACGGTATGTTATTACGGTCTGTGTATAATATCTCGTTTTCGGGGCACCGGAGAGTATCGCGACGCGCCGAGGACCGCCGCCGCCACCCGCCCGCCCGCCCGCCCGTCCGGCGGCGCGAACCGCGCGGACTTTACGCGGCGTTGTTGCGCGCCGGTACGTGACCGAAGTTAATTGTGATAACGTTGCGATGAGGCGGCGGATTTTTTTTTTTTTATCTTTTTCGTGCGTACGCGCGCCCGCGTCACGATGATTGTTTTCCGCGCCGGCCCGCGCACGGCGGAACGTCTCGTTTTGTTCGTGACAAAAACGTAGCGTGATTTTCAAATTGGGCATTTTTTTTTTTTTTTTTTTTGCCGTCCGGCACCCGTTTCGCGACGATACGGACGCGCGACGGCCCCGCGGAAGGAAAAACCCGACTCCGCGACGACGGCGACGACCGTAATAATACGAGCGCGTAGCGATTCGCCCCGCGCGAAAATATTGTCGGTCGATTTAACTCCCATCCTCCGCCCACCCCCGGTCGTTTTCGTCGATCCGCTTTTTTTTCCCCGTGGTTTGTTTTTTTTTTTTTTTTTTTTCACTTTACCGCTTTGTTATACCTGCCGTCGCGGCGTTTGTGCCAATCTATTTGCTCTCTCCCCCAACACACACACACAACCCCTCGTCCTGAAAGCGGAAGCACGAATTAACCGTAATGCTTCACTTTCTCGACGGGGACAGTGGAAAAAAATAAATATAATAAAATAATTCAACCTCGAAAAACAATAGAAACGTCTCGAAATTATTTTATAATGTTTGAATGTCATTACGCTCTATTGTATTGTATTACCGGTGTAATATCGTTCTATCTAATCGCACTTCACGTCTAAATTCCATTAGGTTTTCAATTTAAGGGGGAAAAAAAATGAAAAGCTTAGCCTGTATTATCATCGTTCTGTTTTTTTTTTACGAATCTAGGTATAGGTAATTTACCTACGGGAATCGTTAGCGATTCGTCGGATGCCCTATATATATGGTATGGTATGTTTCCGAAAATTGCACAACCGCAAAGATTAAAAAAAAGAAAAAGAAAAAAGTTACAACTATAATAAAACAAACAAAAACAAAAAAAAAAAAAAAAAAAAAAAAAAAAAAAAAAAAATGCTGATACTGCCGATGGGTGAACTACTGTTTTATAGGAGTAGGTAATTAGGTTTACAATATATCTATACGCAAAAAATTCTAATTATTGCTAATGGAAAACTATTGTGAGCGGAGTATGATTAGTCGAGTTTTTCTCTTTTTTTTTTCGTAATTTTTCAAGAAAACAATAATTACCTTCTGTACACCGACTGTATCGAAAACGCCACGAGAAAATGTCTATAATGTGTCTGGTCGAAACAAGATTTCTGGTACCTAGACAAGTTGTTCACGTACAGAGACGAAAACTAAAAAACGTAACACGTTCTATTGTAAAACGAACACAACAGTCCTCGCATCGCCCCAGGATCTAATAAAATACACTCGAATTTACTTGAATGACTCGAACTATAATTTATCGTACGCCGTCGAAAAGCATTTTATACGAGTGTCTTTGGCTCCGCAATGGTCACGGCAGTGAACCGTTCGATTTGCCGCGATGAATTGTACGCAATAAGGAACGTATTATAATTTCACGTACAATTCTTCAGCACGTAACTGCGCGGTGTACATGCCAATGTCTACTGAGCAATCGACCTTTGAGAATTTGTCCGGTATCAGCTACGTGTCCCGTACAACTACTATACGGTTCGATTACCAAAGCCGTTTTAGGTAACCGTAACGTACCGCGTGCACGGGGCGGTATGACTTCTGCGGGAGGCGGACCAGCACCGTGTCCAGATGACGGTTGGATACGGTTTGTGTCGCGGGTGCCGGCCTTTGCAGCGGAGATGACACCGTTGAAATGCCTTCGTCACCGCACTTGCGAAATGTACGGCCGTTGTGTAATAGACATGGCGAAAAACTCGAACAGGGACAAATGGAGTTGGCCGTTTGGACGCCGTTGGGTCGGTTGGACGTCGGAGTTAGTGGAATTATTGCGGTCGGAAAGTTAATTTTTGTACGTAATATTAACCGAGTGAAATATTTTGAGTGAAAAACAAAAATTTAACGTCGATTTCCGCGAAAAAGTTTTATTTTAGTTCTTGTTTATTTATAAACCATAAAACTAACACACTCGAAGCCGGTAAAATACTCCCAATAACATTAAAGCAATTTACCGATGCGAACAAACGAATTTTAAGAATCGTTCAAAGTTGTGAAAATCGAACCAAAACACCATTCTTACGTGGAATCGCTGAAAATATTTCACTCAATTTACAATATTACGCATACGACTTTTTAATTGTAAACCTTTTGGCACATTAATATATATATATGTATATACCTATGTGCATAGCACTTTTTTGATATTATATTTCTAATATTTAGATTCGGAGTGGGGCGAATAAGCTTACGATATCACAAAGATGTTTATTTATTTTTTTTTTATATTCAATACAGAGTAAAATCATTCTACCAGAAATTTTTAAGTGTAACACTTTTCCTAAAGGGAAATTGCACTGGAGAGTTACTTTAGGATGGCCGTTTATCGATTTTCTCAGGAGTTTTCTCGATTAATCGGGAAAAAAAAACATGGGAAAAACGGGAAAATCGGTACAACACAAACAAATATTACCAAAGAAAATGTGTAATATCTATTTAATTAATCTCTCTCTTTTTTTTTTTTTTTTTTTTTCGCCGTTTCACACGTGCACGTTATGTATACACGGACAAAAGCCGTCGGATTGCCCCGGATCGGGGAAAAACGGATCTCGCGAGACTCGTTTGATTCGGACGCCGCGTGGTATAGTTAAGCCTACATATATATATAAGGAAAAAAAAAAACCGTCACCGGCTCCCGCGAAATACCGCGCGTTTTTATTATTGCATTTATTGTTCGCCATATCGTCACGTATGAAGCCGTACAACAATACGTAATATTATTATTATTATTATTATTTTTATCGCCATCATATTGTCCGCCGCGCGATAATTACGCTCAAACGCTTTTTTTTTCTTTTTTTTTTTTTCGCCGTTTCACACGTGCACGTTATGTATACACGGACAAAAGCTCCGTTTTACGATACACGCAAACGCGTACGCGTACATCGCGTTACAAACGCTGCTCTCTCGGTGTGTGTGTGTGTATGTGTGTGTGTGGGTACGCCGCGAGCACACAAAGCAAACAACACGCTCCGTACGGAAACGCCGGCGCGGACGCGCCCGTAAAAGTTTTCAACGCGGGTTCGTAAAATTTATTTCCGCCCGTGCAACAACGAAAAAATAAATAATAATACCACCGGTAGTCGATAATAACACGTAGGACGGCCGTCGTATTGTATTACGAAACGCAGTATTATATCGAACGGTACGGCGGTTTTCGAAATTAATCGTAATATTTTATATGAAAAAAAAAAAAAAAAAAAAAAACCATAACAATAACAATAAAAATAACAATGATAATATTACGCGGACGGGAACCGCAGAGTGTGTGGGTATACGCTATACGTCATCGCTGCATTGATTGCACGTTCTCCCGGAGAGAATAATCTACAGGCGTAGCTGGTGTACGGAGGGTACGGCGTCACCTATGCGAACGGAACGATCGGGCGACCGGAGCGGCCGAAATTGTACACCGTAGAGTGGGGCGAGGCGTCGAATTCGCCACTCGTCTGAGAAAAGAAGTTATAGTTTCATTTTTTTTTTTTTTTTTTTTTTTTGTAAGACGACAAACACTGAAGTTCTCTCGGAGCGTTTTGTTTCGATATTTTATGCCGACGATTTTAGAAACTTTTTCGAAAATCGGTTGACGCAAAACGGTAACGTTTAAAAGATAATACTATATTACTCATTACAATGAGAGATTATAGAGATTTTATAGAGATTACGTATTATAGAGAGCAACTAAACATTTTATTATCCAAACAACATTAGTTCCGAAATGAAATTGATTGAAAAGATTTACTTTCGTGTATTAAGTGTTAAAATGTTTCCAAAATTTGACCTTCTTAAAGTAATATAACAAAATTTTACATCCCTGGCTACTTTTTATTCATTTATTTTATTGCAACAATAACACAACTTTACATAACATAACAAAATATTAAATATAAATTTATAAATTTACAATAATTATAATTAAATTAGTATATATTCAAATAATAAATAATGATTTGATTAGGTAATAATATATTTTGTATTTGTATTTTTTAATAAAAAAAAAACCGTACGACAGAGATAAAGGGGCATCAAATTTCCCTCTGTAGACAGAAAATTGGTCAATACGCTACTGGGTGGATATATCGCACGCCTTATTTTAAAAATTAATTAAGATTCGTTTTTTTTGACCGTGCATTTATAGAAAACATGATAATCAGACATCGGATTTAAATTGCTCGAAAACAATGGAAAACGTTCTAAAAAAAATTACCCAAAAGTGTCTTCGAACCAGGGACTGGAACATTAATGAATATTGCGGTTCTGGTCCCGGTTCGGTTCCTAGTAAAAAAAATCATTCGCACCATCCCCACCAAAAAAAAAAAAAGGTTTTTGCATTGAAATCCGGATCCTAATATTCTATAATCGCGAATCGATATTTCAATGCTGATCGTAGCATGATGTAGTTTACCGATCGTTTTACTCTTAGATCGTGTATAATGGATAGAGCTATGAACAGTAAAACGTGTCGCCTTTACTGTTTGCCTTTCAGTCTTATCACAACCTACTTAAAAAAATATCATAGAATTGCAATATATCTCTATGTAAAATATACATCCGATATACCCATATTACCCAAATAGGTTATAGCGGTATAATAAAGAGGGTGACGCATGCGCAGTAGCTACACACACTCTTGATGTTTGCGACATGTCAACACGATGTATAGCCGCAGTATTGTTGCTGATGGCGCAGTTGCGGACAATTTCGATTTTAGAATGGATTATTACGAACGGCCGCCCGTTATTCGAGCGAAAATAAGTCGCGCGGAAAAAATTATAATTACATATTCTACATATATAATAAAAAAATTAACAAATTTTAAATTCTTTTTTTACGATTCTGCGAAAGCGTGAATTATTGTTTAAATTGTTTTTCGTCTTTTTCTTTCTCTCTACGTCCCGGCTGTTTCGGAAATATCGAATATTCAATTTTCGCCATAGCTTATATAATTTTTTTTCATGATAATATTCGCGTAGACGATGTTATATTTTTGTTTTTTTTTTTTTTACTATCGGATATAATAAAGTTGACAATTTTTAATCGTCTCCGAAAAAAAAAAAAATAAATAAATTTTCTTAACCACTTCGTCTTGTATTATTCAATTTGCTGTTTTCCATCCGCGCCCCGAAACGGAATTTTTAATTGTTCTGCGTATAGCATAAAATCCAGCGTCAAAAGAAATTAAACATTTTCAATTAACAGCTTAACAGCTTTTCTTCGCTCGACGAGACATTTTTATACTTGCGTGTTATTATAGTACACGGTGTTTTCACAAATCCGACTTTACGGCTATTGTTTATTTATTTTTTATCGAGTTTGCATGTCCATATAAAATGTCTGTATGTGATGCTGCGGCCGACATAAGAAACCTGTTTTAAAACGTAGGCTGTACTTAAATGTTGTTATTAAATAATTTAATTTTAATTTTAAAAATTTGTTGTTTATATACCCGTGATAAATAGTAAATCGTTCGATTCGAGACAATATTAACAGTCATCGATATATACACAATTATAATATTATATTTAAAACTCTTGTTGTATCATACGGAAATAGAATTCGAAAAAGCCCGTGAGCAGTAGCAGTAGTTCAATCACTAGAGTCAAATCCCCACCCTCCAACCACTATTTGGTAGTATAGAAATATATTCGTTACAAAACGAATAAATAACGGAATTCTCACTAAAAAAAAAAAATAAAATAAACCTTCTACACAACTACTACTTTCGAAAAATGACGAATTGAACACAAAATTGGTGGTAGGGATTGAAGTGGAAATCCTCAAAAGGCACATGCCTTTTATGTCTACGACGGTAACGAAAAAACCATCCGTCGACTTTATTCGGGAGGGGCTCTTCCAGCGGCGTAACGCGGTGAAACCGACATTGAAATTCAACCCGTGTTATTTAGCATTCCGAATTGCCCACGAGACGACTTGTATTCTCGCGGGTTCGAACTCATCCGGGTCCTGTAGAAAAAACCGCTGAATGCGTTCAAAAGCGACAGGAAAAAGTGCAAGACAGATACAACAAACAATCTTTCTTTTCGGGAAAAATTTGACGAAAATAACTGTTTGAAACACACTAACATACTCTCATCATTACACACTATGGATGTTAATGTATATGCCTACCCGCAATTTATACGCACCGCACTCGGCGAATTTATTGTAATACATACAGCAATAATACCTATATACTTACGGTCATTATAAATCGTATTTTTACGGGTTCCGTCCCCTATTTCTATTGTGTCGTCGACCCCTGTATAAAATTCGCCATCCGTAACGTAATTCGCCCCGCGGTGATTCCACTGGCAGAACTAACGCGCTGGCGCACACCGCGGATCCGAAAATGACCGGAACTAATTTCGATGATATTATAGTCTCTCTACGCCACGCATATGTGCAGGGCACCATAACAAAGCGTTTTCGAAATAAAAAAAAAAAAAAAAAAATCAAACTAATCTTTCCACGGCGACGGTCGCGCAGTCGATACGAGTCTGTATCGAATTGTCGTAATACGAAAATGATTTATCGATAGGACGACGGACCCGCGCGTATTAAACCCGTGTACGCGCGTAGACAACGATAATATCAAACAAGCAGTGTAGCAGTAAGTATGTAATTATTCCCAATTAAAACACGGTGTTTACGATATAATTCGATTCCGAAATTCATCTGCGGTTCCATATCCGGAGCTGGACGGACACTATAGTGACGGTGACGATTTGGACGGCTTGGATCATTCGGGCCGGAGAATTACAAATGCGACTTTGTACAGATTATAAAAATA